GTATTTTATCATGAATTTTGCATATTGAATCAACCTATCTGCTTGTAAAAATGTTCAATTTTAATCCATGGTATACAGTAACCTCATGAAAACGAAGGCCGCTATCCTCTGCTCAATCCCACACAGAAAAACTCATCAGACAGCGATGCTGTAAGCACCCGAGTGTATGTGATCGGCTAGTGAGATTATGTGGTGTCAGAAATTCGCCACTATATTTGAGATACATGCATTTACACCCGACTGGGCAAAGTGAGGTCACATGACCTGTGGGTTGGGGCAATAGAGTTTCAGGGAACGCACATGTCACATGATTTCTAGTGAGATTGTGTTACCTTCTGGCTCGGGCGATGATGTTTCAGTATACACTTCGATCGCATTATGTGGTTTGCTGCTGGCCTAGCTATTGTGTGCTCCCTTTTATCTATGCGGCCTTCTTATGCACCTGGATATCTTGCCTTGGTTTTCACAATTAATGTAAGCCTCTAAATAACACAAGTCTTTAATTAATGTAAATATTGAAAGTACAACCAAACTGCTTTGCCCTGCCTTGGTTTAATAATATTAATGCCACGTTTAGTCTCCAGGCATTCTAAAAAATTAAATTGCAAATTGCTTTACCAGTATTTCGTAGTACTGAAAGTCATCATCATCATTTTGTTTTCTTTTTCACTTTTTTTCCCTGGCCACATGACTGGTGTGACGCCACGATGGCACAGGGTAATCCAAAACAGCTTTGCTGGATTAAATGAAAAATAAAAGCAACACTATAACGTCTTGTGACGTGAAATTGTTGCAAGGCAAGCAGAATGGGGCATTACAAGTGAAAGCAAGTGAGGGCTGCCAGTAAGTGCTTTTTTTGCTGCTGCCGAAAATTGCTTTCAACTGTGGTCTCTTGCTGATTTCATGGCCAACCGGAATTTCTACAGTATGCATGCACCTAAAAATGCCTAAGTATAGTGGAAACATGAATATAAGGAGCCACTTGCTATATCGTCGAATCTCAGAAAGATAGCCTCCTGTCATGGTGTACGCCTTACAATGTCGGCGCTTGTAAACAGTCTGCTGTGTGCATCACGATGAGCAGAAAGAAGAGGATGTGTTCAACATAGCATGCGACTGTATTTACTGAGTGCGCGTCATGGGTAGTGTACCTCACTTTATTGAGTTAAAGAAAGGAATATTGGCCAAACATAGAACCAGACAATTCTATGTCAATGCAAAAATGGTTCCGGTCGCCTGATGGCAACACATGGTGAGACGTATGGATAGTGAAGCAATGTTTATTGGCAGAGCGAAAGAAAAAACGCCAGGCCTGCGGGGATGCGCAGAACAGTCATACCGAAAACTAGAAGAGTGGCTTTTCAGAGCCTTTTTTCTAAACACTCATTGGGTAACTGCTGCAAGCACACTTGCTTGATGCCCACTACAGCATTAATGATAAAAATTTTAGGGTAATATGCCATCATTCGCTATGCTATTTTTCATCATGCTTCTGAGAAGCGTGGTATTCGCGACACTATTGTGAAGAATTTTGTGCCAATTGTTCATGCAGTGGCTGACGATGATGAGGAATCATGCCTGAAGTAGGTATGCCCCACAGTTAATAGCTGAACAAAAACAAACTTTTGTAATGGGTTCGAGCATTGGACGAGCCACTCGCTATGCTATTCGCATTGTGTGACGACGGCTTGTTCTTTCGCTGTTTTAAAATGCTTTATAAGTCGTATTAACGTGATTGCTTTCCCGACATCAAGCCTGCCTAAGGCAAGTTTGCCAACGAGTCCCAAGCACCGGCGGCGCTCAGGTAGAATACAGGGCTGGCACCCAGTGGACCCGGATTCGAGCCACACTGTGTAATTGGCACTAGGTTTTTTTGATAATTTTGCGCGATGTGGTTACGGGCAGCGGCGGTGGCGGACAACTACGGTGCTGCGCGAGACCAGAGTTGGGATCTCATGACAGCTTTCGCTGTAAAAAATGGATAGAGAAGTTAACGAGACGTATCACATTATACAAAGGGGCAACACATGTGTCAGCATAGCTCCACCTCCGCTATCACTTAACAATAATGAGAACTTTTCCCAGCAATGCCTTGCAGTTCTTATGTTGTTAAAAAAATTGAATTGCGTGCATGTGTCCATGTATTGGCTGCGCTATAAAATCTTCGTTCCTCTGTGGCATCAAAATAGTCTGGATTTTGTCGCTTGCCCTGTTCCTTTGTGTTTTGTGTCCTCATTCAATTTGCGCCAGAAAGTTTTTTTTTTTTCAGTTATCAACCAGTACCAACTAGCTCAAACCGAAATTTTATACCCCTGCTCTTAAAACAATGATGGGCAATGTCAGACTGAATAAAGGTATGGGGCAGATTTTACCCCACCCACCCACTTTAAGGTGACCTGAGGGGAAAAGGTCTCCTCCCCAGCCCTCCTAATGAGCACACCTATGTTAGCCTGTTCTGTGCTGCTGTCCGCAAGCTTCTTGAGCTAAAATTTTTACAAAACTGAGCGCTGCAACTAGTATTAGGTTGAGGTTTTTTTAGAAGGCCACATTAGAGATAATGTGCTCATCTGCTTGGCCAGAAGCAGCTGTGGCTAACCAGAATCGATTTACTAAGTCTATAGTTCAGTACCAGCAAGGCTTTTGCTTATTTGTTTTCTTTAGTCACAAGATAAGATTGATTGCTGGTACCGTCTATAAACAAGTGTGACACGGCTGACCTACAGAAAATCTCGCCACTAGCAGCTTGCTTGTGACACATAAGTTACCGTAGGCACAGTAAAGTGACCAAAGCAGCACTATGAAAATGCTGGCCAAAGGCATTTTTCGTGCCGTGTTTTTTCGTTTCAGATAGTACACGCCTGAGCCTCAGTTACAATTGCATGGAACCGTGGTGTATCTGTCCATCTTAGCTGTGCTACGGTAGCAATTTTCAATGATCTCATGCATGTGAAGCTTTGTAGCATGTACTGCACATAGTTAAAGAAATGTGTGTAATACTTACTTGACACCCAGGAAGTTGTAGACGTAATTTAGTCCCACCACCACTTCTATGTATACAGCTATTCTCACAATGAACATTTTTGGTGCTGTCTGTAAACATAACATGCAAGTCGGGATTATGACCTCACAGCAATGATGCAGTGATCTGAACAGTCTAATAAAGTCAATTGAAAGCTGTTGATAGCACTATGACTGACAGTCTGCCCAGCTGTGGCATGCAGGCTGCAGCTAGGTGGTTGGCCACAAACATACTTTTGCAGCAAATAGAGAATTCACAAAGTGGCCATGGTAATTTCATAAGCTTTTGCTTTCATATGTCCCCACGAGTGTTGAAAATTGGGCGAGTTGGTTCGTCGTACTTGAACTGGTATAGCGCATTACGGGGAAGAAGAAACGGCCGAGCAGACCGACACAAGAGGACAGAGCGCTAACTTCCAACTGAGCTTTATTGTCAAACTGCATCAAATATGTAGACCGGTGCAAGCATACAAAACTACCCTAACGCAACGACAAGATAACACACAACATCACACCGTCACATATCACACATTCATAGGCGGTTACCCTGATTAAGGAAGGCCACTTCATGTTCAGATAAACCCAAAGAAGGGGCGCTAATACACGTGCTGCCAGCTCTTGCTATACAATGCGCTTCTATAAATTTCTCGAGTTAATTGTGACGGGTGTTTTTTTTATCACTCCACATTGTTCAAACATGGGGGTACATCCACAATCGCGGCAGTGAATTAGCGCCCCTTCTTTGGGTTTATCTGAACATGAAGTGGCCTTCCTTAATCAGGGTAACCGCCTATGAATGTGTGATATGTGACGGTGTGATGTTGTGTGTTATCTTGTCGTTGCGTTAGGGTAGTTTTGTATGCTTGCACCGGTCTACATATTTGATGCAGTTTGACAATAAAGCTCAGTTGGAAGTTAGCGCTCTGTCCTCTTGTGTCGGTCTGCTCGGCCGTTTCTTCTTCCCCGTAATGCGCTATACCAGTTCAAGCATATGTCCCCAACTGTTGTCAAAATAAAAAAAAAATGAAAAAAGATCCCTCAGCACCATTGATGTTTTTGGAGCGTCAGCAGTGTTATAGTTGCATGCAGCTTTTTGTACGGTTATGTCGATGTTGAGGTGTGGTATTCCTAGTTAAAATGCATACCTATTTCACTCACAGCTTTAAGTAATAACAAAAAGTAAGTATGTACCAGAGAAGTATTAATATTCTGCCTGAACTGTGGAAGTAAGCAAAATGGGTTCTAAATCTTGTTTATCTTAGAACTTAAGAAGTACCCATCACAGCTCAGTGACTGGGGCGGTGCAAGGGGACTCGGGTTTGGGGTGGGGAGATGGTATTATTCCTAACGACTTCATTTCTTTTCTTGAGTGCCGGCTCGTGCTTGCCACACCCGGTGATGTGGTGGCATTCCTGTGATTATACAAAGACTGTAAACCAAAATATAATACAAAATACAAAAACATTAATACCAAATACTTAAAGGGGCCCTGCAACACTTTTTGAGCATGGTCAGAAAACGCTGCCGATCAGTAGTAGAGGTTCCCGAGAACATGCGAGCCCTATGTTATAGCGCAGCATGTGGCCTGGAATTCACAAGAAATTATCAGTCAGCTAAAAATTGCTTTCATTTTTTTTCCTGGATGCTGGCTTATGCTTGCCACACCTGGTGATCTGGTGGCATTGTTATGATTATAGATCTGTCTAATACTAAATACTTAAGATTGTATGACTATATTGAGTTATCAAGTACTGTTTCTAGATGTGGAACAACAATACACAAAGAAAGAAACACATGAAATAATCACTGAAAGTTGTGCATAATGTGTATAAAGAATGAGGGTTGTGTTACTAACACAATTAGTGGATTTTGGTGTTATTGTAGTCAAGCATGTTGTTTAAACACAGTTATCTAGTAGCTCTCGCTACGTTTGTGTGATTGTAAATTGAATTCATGTATCTGTATTTGTCTTTCTTGTGCAGTGTGTGGCGTAGTAACAGCGGATTTTCTTAGTGGCCTTGCCCACTGGGCTGCAGACACTTGGGGAAGTGTGGAGCTGCCTGTCATTGGGAAGGTACGCACAGTACGTCTTCTCATTAAACTGCAAGTGCATTTCAACAAATATTTTGAGCTATCTTATTGGTTAGATGTTGTTTACCAAGTCGGGACTTAGGCAGGTATTTTAGTGAATGTGATGTCGTGAGTTTAGTAGCCTATTTTTAGTGGAATGGTGTCTGTGTAAAAGTACGTCAAATAAGGTTAAAAGTGGGACATTACCGAAATGCGGCAGGAATTCCACTGCAGGCATTGGAGATTGCATATTATGGCATGCAAAAACAAGGTTCGGCATTATGCATAGGTTTTGTCTGTCTGTGTGTGTGTGTGTTTGTGTGTGTGTGTGTGTGTGTGTGTGTGTGTCTGTCTGTGTGTGCGTCTGTCCGTGCGTGCGTACGGGCGCATGTGTGTATGCGTGCACGCACATGTACACACATGCTACTAGAGCGAGATCTTGTGCTCTTCTAATTTACAGCCACTGTCAGAGTATCATGAAAATGATATCATGACATATGACATAGGTCATATGTCATGATATCTTGACATAGGTCAGTGAACTAACTCACGAGTTGACATACTAGACCCACAACCACCTGTAAGTTGAAGTAAGTTGGAGTTCAAGGAACTCCAACTTACTCTAACTTACTTCAGGAAGGACAAGTTTGATTGAATCCGAGTCATTTGAGTGATTAGATCTGGGTGTTACTGGGAGTGTGAGTCTGGGTAAGTCACAGTAAATTTGAAATAGTAAAAGGCTGAATTAATTCCTAAAATCTCAATTGCATGTAATTCCAGCTTTTATTCCAAAAGATTGTGTACAAGACTCTATCCACATGATCCTGGGTGAATTTGTACATGCATAGCAATAAAAGCATTAAAATGCCAGTAAACAGGCTCTGACTTTTTTATTGCATCCCCCAAACAAGCTCACTAATTCGTGCAATGGTCATGGCACAAATTAGCATTTCTCACATTTTTCAAATATCGCAGCACTGCACAGCCGCTTCATTTGGAAAAATAGTTCTCATGTCAGTCTTCAGCCCCTGTCCAATGCTGCTCTTATGTGGACCATCTTGCCCATGGGCAACATTAGGCAGCACTGACTTCATTTATTGGTCCTTTGCACCACAAAACAGCACCTAGGACCTGCAGTGATGTAAGTTTTAGTCATTTTGACTGCGCTGTTCGCATTTCATTTTCCTGTGTGGCTCTTTGGTGTTCTGGTAGAGCCTTGAGACTATATGACAAGTGGTATTGCCAGAACAAAAACATCTAAGATGAAAAGCTGTCTTACAACTTTCTCTCTAGAAGAAGAGTGCATACCTCAGCAGTGTCTCGTACCCTTCCCCGCGTCATTGACATCAGCGACATGTGTGGGAAGCCTCGCTCAATTGTTGGCTGTGTGCCGATAATATGATCGCCGACGTCATGTTACGTTCCTGAAGTGGGTGTAGTCACAACAAAGGGATGCATATACTCTAGAATCACCCTTGAATCCACATTATACCAGCTGACTTTAATCTGTACAGCAGGACATACCGCTGCCCTTTTGTTGTGTACATATGAAACCCACACTGGGTGGGCTTATTTCGGGTTAGGCACAGTGCCTTGAAAGCTTTGCAACTCTTCACACTATAATGTCACCAGCCTGTTCGAATGGTAAAATGGCACCCAAAATTATGTTTACGAACAGCATTCATTGAGAATGTTTTCTTTGACCATGTGAAGGCTTGATCTCACTGTGCCTAGGCTGGTTGACTCACCAAGTTGGTGGTATGATCTGGTGTGTGGGTTGTGTTTTCATGTCCATGATGAGTGGCGTATCTTCATACCTTGCAAGAGAAAAGTCTTTTGCCTTGATGTAATGGCCAAAAATATCTCCAAAATAATGCGTGAAGCAGTGCTGAAAGATTTCAGATTTTATTGAGCTCACTCTCTACAACTTTGAAATTGACGGATGTCATCATGGGTGCCAACAGGGGGGTGGTTCAGAAAAATAGTAGAAACAAAGGTGCTTTTGATAAGGTTATTATTTCCAAAGTTTAGGGATTATTTTCTCAATTATGTTGTCTACCAAGTGGCCAGAAGTGTTGTCATCTTTATTTGCACAGTTGACACATAACAACTTTAACTTAACAAAACTTATAATTTAACTGTTTCTGGCTGTAGACAGGCCTTCATTATATCATTGTATTGGCTGATAGCTTACATAATTCCGTGGTAGCATGTGGATTAGATACGCTTCTTCCTATGAGGTATTGCCGTGCGACAGTGCCATGCATAGAAAGCAAAAATTACAAAGCAACATTAGCTAATAGGAACCTCAATGGAAAAGAGCAATTGCGCTTCATGACATGTGCTGGAGGTTGTGACATTCACTGTTTGCTCTTCTCTCCACTGCGCCATCCCTCCCTGTGTAGCTTCCAATGTGATCATTGGAGTGAGAGAAGAGAAAAAGTGCAACAAATCCTTGTGTAACTTCGCTCATTCTTCATGTACATATTTCCAGAAGTTTTTATGGCAGTTGTTTCATAAGGCAATGAACTTGATACTCGAGCCACTCGATAATCACTTGGAAAAGAGGGTCAGGACTCCTATAAGCTTGAGAACATGTGAATAATAGATCAGTGCCTATATGTTGTTATATGTTCATGAAATTAACTCAATACAGCCTTGTTTTACTGTGTGCGTTCATTTTCTTTTAGATAATCTGAGCACATTTGCTTTAAGATTGATTGAAGTTGGCCTTTAGAAAGCTATTTAACCAGTCATTAAGTGCTAATATGCAGTTATCAAAAAACGTGGATACATGTATCAAGAATAAATTTCCTATCAATGGCCAATGTGTGCTTATGCAGTTTCATCAGCACTGCTACTTTTTCTCTTTTTCTATTCACTTTCTCGCCCAGGTATGCTGATGACTAACCATGATATCTTTTTTTTTATAAATGCTAGAGTTGTGCAAATAGCAAAATTTTGGGTACAAAACTAATTTGAATATGGAAGTGTGATTGCAAATCAAATACAATATTTTTTTGAATATTTCTCGAATATTTATAGAATATTTTTAATACTTGAAAGCGAAATTGCAAAAAGAAAGAAGTTGGAGAGAATTTCTAAGCATATTTATATGAGACAGCAACATGAAAGCACTTCTTTTGGCAAAGTTGATGAAGTGCTGGCGGGGGCTGGTTATTAAGAATAAGGCGGTCTTATCAAGAATGAGGCAACACACAGGCTGAATTTTATTTTTGTACACGATTTCGTGCAAGCAACATGTTGTTGACAACACTTTGCACGTGAAAGACAAAGATGCTATTTCCTGAGCCTCTCCTCCTCTTTCAGCTTTTGTGGAAGCCAAAGGGATGTGCTAACAAGGGTGTGCCCCCCTTCTAAAGTTCTAAATCTGCCTTGTAGACATCAATATATATTAGCATCTGAAATTATAGATGTTATTATCTTCAGTGTCTAATTTTTTGGACTTCCTGCACAAATTACAGTTCTAAAACAGTGTTAATTGAGCCCCAACCTCTGCCACATCCATCATCTCTATGTTAGAACCAGTGTTTGCTTGAGTCAATACATTTCCGACCAAAGAAGACCTTGAAAGGCAGCTTTGTGGCAATATGAACGTGTGATTGGGTGACGTATATCGAAAACTTGAAAAGACCACTTAGTAGTACTCATGCACGCACGTACACTTGCAAAACTCGAAAATTGAATCAGTAGATGAAAGTGCAAGTTTTAAGTTGACACATGCCCTTCTGAAGCATGTGCTTTCCATAGTCCTTATGTGGCGCATATAATATGACAGATGGTTGAAATTTGACAGTGGTGAAGGGCCATGATCTATTCTAACCTAATTAAAAGTATTTAGTTACAGAGAATTCCCATTGTGTTGTACAGAGGAACTGTGCTGTTCATTACTAATCTAAGTTCTACATTTCACACTGTTTTGTGTAAGATTGTATTGCCAGGGACTTAAACCAGCTACCCATGAATAGATAAGCTTTTCTTGACTGATAGCATATAAGTAGTACTGCAATGTGGGTGCTGATATGACACATTGGAATAATTTCATATAGCATATACAGTAGACTCCCATTTATACGAAACTCTCCTAATTAAATGAAACAACTGCCACTAATATGTTTGGTTTCCTATTTGAATATTGTACTCCTGTTTATCTCTTAGTAATTGAAACTCCTCTTGAAGGAAACACTTTTTCCTGGTCCCTTCTGGTTTTGTTAACAATGAGTGTACTGTAGATGGAGACAAAAGATGGGCATATGAACATACAGTAGCATGGTGTTTGTTTGTTCATAAGCTTTGTTTGTGCTCTTATTTATATGTGCTATAATATTATTCCATGATAGCAGATTTTCTATGATGAAGTTCCGCCTACATCAAGACTTACTCTGCCACAGGATTATGATGAAGTGACGGGTATTAAAGCGGCCTTGAAAGCAGCCTACTTTTTTTCTTGGAATTTATTATTCATTTTGTTGATAGCCAAGGTTCATTTAGCATATTCAGAAGTGACGAGACACTTTGTGCACATGAAAAGAGTTGCTTAACATCGGAGTTGAGGGGAAACCAAAGAAAGAACTTTAAATCAATTTAGACTGATACACTATTATTCCAAAACTTTTTTTATAGTAATAGGTTGGTTATAAGAAAAAGAAATGAAGCAGAAGTCTAAATTTTTAAATTTTGCATGGAAACACCAAGACAACACATGATGTGATGCTGCAGACTTTAAGGCATCTTTTACAGCGAAAGCTGTTACGAGATCACAACTTTGGTTATGCGCAGTTGTCTGCCGTCGCCGCCGCTGCTGCCGCCAGTGTTCGTAACCACATCGCATGAAATTGGAAAAAAAACTAGCACCAATGACACAGAGGGGCTCGAACCCGGGTCGACTTGGTGCCAGCCCAGTATTCTACCACTAAGCCACACCGGTGCTTGGAACATGTTGGCAAACTTGCCTTAGGCAGGCTTCATGTCGGGAAAGCAATC